AAGATTTTATTTATTTTTTTGAGAGAGAGAGCACGAGAGAGGGGAGGGTCAGAGGGAGAAGCAGACTCCCTGCTGAGCAGGGAGCCCCATGCGGGACTCAATTCTGGGACTCCAGCATCATGACCTGAGCCGAAGGCAGTCACTTAACCAACTGAGCCACCTAGATGCCCTTCTTTCTTTTTAAGAGATAGGGTTACCTGCCCTTAAAGGAAAGTCTCCTGCCATATGGCCCATTCTATCCCTAGGTATTTACCAAAGAGCAAAGAAAGCAGATGTTCACACAAAGACTTATACAAATGCAGTATTCATAGTAGCTTTATCTGTAATGACCAAAAACTGGAAGCAACCCAAATGTCCATCATTAGGTGAATGGATCAAAAATTGTGACATAGCCATAAAATTGAAAAGAAATGAACTATTAATACATAAACAACGTGATGGATCTCAAAATAATTAACACTGAGTAAAAGCAGCCAGGAACAAGAGTGCATACTGTATGATTCCATTTATATAAAGCTCTATTTTTTTTTTTAAGACTTTATTTATTTATTTGACAGAGAGAGACACAGCGAGAGAGGGAACACAAGCAGGGGGAGTGGGAGCAGGAGAAGCAGGCTTCCCACTGAGCAGGGAGCCCGATGGGGGGCTCTTTCCCAGGACCCTGGTCTCATGACCTGAGCCGAAGGCAGACACTTAACGACTGAGCCACCCAGGCGCCGCATTTATATGAAGCTCTAGAAAATACAAACTAATCTTGAGTGGCCAGGCACAGGTCATTGGTTGCCTCGGGGGTGTGAGGGGGCAGAGAGTGACAGATTGCAAAGGGCATGAAGAAAATTTAGACATAATGGGTATATTTAATGTCTTAATTGCAGTGGTAGCTTCACGCCTGTATATGTATGTCAAGAATTTATCAAGTTGTGCACTTGAAATATGGGTAGTTTATTGTACATCAGTTATATCTCAGCAAAATCATGAATGTAGGTACAAGCCACAGAGGTATTATTAACAGTTCTTGTGATTTTTGCCACCAAGAGAAACCAAATACTGTCATACTGCATTAAAAATGTTACATATATCCCAGAATGAAGCATTCTTCACTATTTCACAATTATAGTAGTTGTTAGATCTGCTGCTAAATCTTGTTATAAATGTGTGACTAGGGGCGCCTGGGTGGCTCAATCATTAAGCGTCTGCCTTCGGCTCAGGTCATGATCCCAGGGTCCTGGGATCGAGCCCCGCATCAGGCTCCCTGCTCAGCGGGAAGCCTGCCTCTCCCTCTCCCACTCCCCC